GGGGAAGGGGTCGAGGGCTCTCACACTCTAATACTGTGACAGTCCCGTCACTCCACCGTGTTGATATGCTCGTTCTCCCTGGTAAGTTGAGTCCTGTGACAGCGCCACGTCAATCTGGGATTTAAACTCATCACCAAGGTAACTGTCCTGCAGGGCRAGAGGGACAGAAGTGGCAAAATCAGTGCCAGCTCAAGGCCACAGCAGAACCAGGTTAATGGGGAGCTCTGAGAAGCTTTGACAGGTTCTTTTAAAATCTGCTTTTTTTTTGGTGCAGAATTTCCCCTAATTAATGTTTTTTTTGAGTGCTCATCAGTTCCAAGTTAAGCCCCATTTCACTTCCATGGCCCTGTGCACTTTGGCAGTGCAGGGGATGAAGTGCTGCAGCCGAGTCATCGAGAGCAGTTTCAGTTTCATTTTCTGCAACACCATAAACCCCAGGAAAAGCTCCCAGGAGCAGCTCCCACAAACAGATCCCAGGAAAAGCTCCAGGAACTGCTCCCAGAAAAAGCTCCCAGGAAATGCTCCCAGGAAAAGCACCCACAAACAGATCCCAGGAAAAGCTCCCAGGAAATCTCCCAGGAAATCTCCCAGGAAATTTCCCAGGAACAGCTCCCATAAGCAGATCCCAGGAAAAGCTCCCAGGAGTATCTCCCAGGAAATCTCCCAGGAAAAGCTCCCAGGAACAGTTCCCAGGAAAAGCTCCCAGGAAATCTCCCAGGAACAGCTCTGACAGCCCCTGGGCCAGGCTCACCTGGGATAATTCCGGTTGGGAGAGCCCAGGCTGACTCATCTGAGAGGGCTGACTCATGGAGATATAGCCCTGAGTCAGGGGGCCCTGCGAGAAGGGCTGGGACACCACGTCCTGGCTGGCCTGGCTGTTGGGGAGGTTGGACTGGCTGGTGCCGGGGATCCCAAAGCGGTTCTTCTGCCGCCCTCCACGGCCYGTCTTCCCTTTGGGTGCCCCACGGCCTGGAAAGGAGTGCACCAGCACGGTGAGGGCTCTGCTCAGCACAGAGAGCCTTTGGGGAGATGGGATCCTCCCCTCATACCTGCAGCGGGCCCGTTGGCCTGGCCAAAGTAGCCCGGGGGTGGCATCGGGGGCATGACCAGGTTGAAGGGGATGGGAATGTTCATGGCAGTGACGTGGCTGGGACCAGCACTGATCATCCCAATCTGGTCGTGGGTCTGGAAGTACATGTTGGATGGACGCCCTGGAAAGGGGGAAAGCACAGGGATCAGCAATCCATTAGAGAGAGAAAAACCCAGGAACATCCTCAGCACAGGGATCAGCAATCCTGGGGGTTGGGATTAGAGACAGCAAAACCCAGGATCATCCTCAACACAGGGATCAGCAATCCATTAGAGAGAGGAAAACCCAGGAATACCCTCAGCACAGGGATCAGCACAGGGATCAGCAATCCATTAGAGAGAGCAAAACCCAGGAATACCCTCAGCACAGGGATCAGCAATCCTGGGGGTTCTGGATTGTGATTAGAGAGAGCAAAACCCAGGAAAGGGGGAAAGCACAGGGATCAGTAATCCTGGGGGTTGGGATTAGAGAGAGCAAAACCCAGGAACATCCTCAGCACAGGGATCAGCAATCCTGGGGGTTTGGATTGTGATTAGAGAGAGCAAAACCCAGGAACATCCTCAACACAGGGATCAGCAATCCTGGGGGTTTGGATTGTGGTTAGAGAGAGCAAAATCCAGGAAAGGGGGAAAGCACAGGGATCAGCAATCTTGGGGTTCTGGATTGTGATTGGAGAGCAAAACCCAGGAAAGGGGGAAAGCACAGGGATCAGCAATCCTGGGGGAGAGCAAAATCCAGGAACATCCTCAGCACAGGGATCAGCAATCCTGGGGGTTCTGGATTCACATTAGAGAGAGAAAAACCCAGGAATACTCTCAGCACAGGGATCAGCAATCCTGGGGGATTGGATTGTGATTAGAGAGCAAAACTCAGGAACATCCTCAGCACAGGGATCAGCAATCCTGGGGGTTTGTGATTAGAGAGAGGAAAACCCAGGAACATCCTCAGCACAGGGATCAGCAATCCTGGGTGTTCTGGATTGTCATTAGAGAGCAAAACCCAGGAACATCCTCAGCACAGGGATCAGCAATCCTGAGGGTATGGATTGTGATTATAGAGAGCAAAACCCAGGAACATCCTCAGCACAGGGATCAGCAATCCTGGGGGCTCTGGATTGTGATTATAGAGAGCAAAACCCAGGAACATCCTCAGCACAGGGATCAGCAATCCTGGGGGTTTGTGATTAGAGAGAGCAAAACGCAGGAACATCCTCAGCACAGGGATCAGAAATCCTGGGGGATTGGATTGTGATTAGAGAGCAAAACCCAGGCACATCCTCAGCACAGGGATCAGCACAGGGATCAGCAATCCTGGGGGTTTGGATTGTGATTAGAGAGAGCAAAACCCAGGAAAGGGGGAAAGCACAGGGATCAGCAATCCTGGGGGTTCTGGATTGTGATTAGAGAGAGCAAAATTCAGGAATATCCTCAGCACAGAGATCAGCAATCCTGGGGGTTCTGGACTGTGATTAGAGAGCAAAACCCAGGCACATCCTTAACACAGGGATCAGCAATCCTGGGGGATTGTGATTAGACAGAGCAAAACCCAGGAACATCCTCAGCACAGGGATCAGCAATCCTGGGGGTTTGGATTCTGATTAGAGACAGCAAAACTCAGGAACATCCTCAACATTTTCATAAGTGAATGGTGGTGATTTGCTGTACCTTGGCTGCTGCGGTCGTACACAGATCCTGGGATGATGGCCTCCCGTGCATCATACATGGCAGTGGTCATGAAACGAGCACCCTGCAAAGATTTGGGCAATCAGGCAAAACCTTTGCATAGAAAACATTGCACTGCAACCTCACTGGAGCTATTTGGGTTGAAAATCCAGTAAAAATCCACAGATCACACAAAATCCAGTAAAAATCCACAGATCACATAAATGTTGAGGAAATGGATTAATTCTAACAAACAGAAAACCTTTAATTCTTATTCCAGCCACACCCTGAGCACCAGAATTAAGATTTTACAGCCACCTGTCTCAAATTGTGACACATTTGATGAATTTCCAGTCTATYTGAGGCCCTGATAATTCTCTTGCTCTACTCATTGTCCTGTGGTGGCTGCCAAGCTCCCCTCAACCACTTATTTTATGTGAAAAAATCAAATGCAAAACTTGCAGCTTGAGGGTTAAGTGAGCTTGTCCTTTCCACACAAMCCAGTTCCTCTATTTCATTCAGCTCAGAATCCACCCCTCACAAAATTCTGCAGTTAAACAGAAATAATGAAAGCTTTTCTCCCAGAGCTCAGCTGGGCACAGCTTCCCCCCAGTCACGCTGCATCAAAAGGCAGCAAAAAGGGGAAGTTCTGGGGTGGGAGGCTGTGGGGACAGCTCAGTGCACCCACTGGTGATTATTAATTAGGACCAAGGCCTAATTGATGATTAATAAATGCACCAAGGCCTAGCTGRTGGGGCACTCACGGGGTTGATGGTGTTGACCAGCTTGCGGGGTTTGCTGAACTGCATSAGGCTCTCTCGGAGGTTGTTCAGGGGTCCCTCCACCAGCACCTTCTGCTCCTTGTAGTAATTGAGGAGGTGATTCCAGAGGGGCTGCTTGGACAGGGCTTTGGGATTGCCCACGATGATCACCCCATACCTGGGCAACAGCAGAGAGCCACGTCAGTGGGGTCAATGAATGGGGTCACATCAACACGGTCACATTAACGGGGTCACAACAGTGGGGTCACATCAATGGGGTCACATCAACGGGGTCACATCAATGGGGTGACACCAACAGGGTCACATCAACGGGGTCACATCAGTGGGGTCACATCAACAGGGTCACATTAACGGGGTCACACCAATGGGGTCACATCAACGGGGTCAGTGAACGGGGTCAATGAATGGGGTCACATCAGTGGGGTCACATCAGTGGGGTCACAACAGTGGAGTCACATCAATGGGGTCACAGCAGTGGGGTCACATCAACGGGGTCACATCAGTGGGGTCACACCAACGGGATCGTATCAACAGGGTCATATCAGTGGGGTCACATCAGTGGGGTCACACCAATGGGGTCACATCAACGGGGTCACATCAATGGGGTCACATCAACAGGGTCACATCAGTGGGGTCACATCAATGGAGTCCCATCAGTGGGGTCACATCAACAGGGTCAAATCAGTGGGGTCACAACAGTGGGGTCACACCAATGGGGTCACACCAATGGGGTCACACCAATGGGGTCACAACAGTGGGGTCACATCAGTGGGGTCACATCAGTGGGGTCACATCAATGGGGTCACACCAATGGGGTCAAAGGCAGAGCCCTGCTGATGCCAGAGCAGCCCCGAGTGCCCCTCTGGCAGCAGAACAGGAGCTCCCAGAGCAGGAGGGGCAGCAGGCTCTGGTGCAGCTGGAATTGTCTGCAGTCATTTCCAGAGGGTGGCACCATCCCTGGCAGGATTGCTGCACTTGCTCAAGCAGCACCAACTTCCTCCTTCAGCCTTGCCCAACACCTCTGCGTGCTCAAATGAACCACCCCAGGCTGGCTGGAGAGCCTGGAGACACCAGGRAAGCCAACCTGCATCCCACAGCTCCCTCCTTGGAGCCAAATCCATCAAAAAAACCCAAATGGACAGGAAATGGCTACTGGAAGTTGCAGAGGAGCAGATGAAGGCATCTGTCCCAAAAATGGGAAGGATGTTTTAGAATCCCCTGATGTCAAATGGTGATAAAAATGGCACAGAATGGTTTGGGTTGAGAAGGACCTTAAAGCWCATCCAGTGCCACCCCTGCAGGGCAGAGACACCTCCCCCTGTGCCAGGGTGCTCCAGCCCGGCCTGGGACACTGCCAGGGGCAGCCCCAGCTGCTCTGGGAATTCCATCCCAGCCAGGAATTCCTTCCCAATGCCCCATCCAACCCTGCCCTGTGGCACTGGGARCCATTCCCTCTCCACCTCTCCCATTTCCATTACCTGGCTCTCGTCAGGGCCACGTTCAGCCTCCTGGGGTCGTTGAGGAAGCCGATTCCCTGGTGCTCGTTGGCCCTGACACAGGACAGGATAATGAAATCCTTCTCCCTGCCCTGGAARGCATCCACACTGGCAATTTCCACTTCCTGGAACAGAGGAAAACACGTAAATCACGGAAGCAAAACAGCTCTGCTACCAACAGGCACTGCCAAACGCCTTGGCCGTGCTCTGAACCTTCCCATCATCCCAGAAAAATGTTGGTTTTGGAGTGAGGAATGATTTGGTAATTCCTCTGGGCACTGAACTGCATCCCCAGAGGGGAACAGAGAGTCTCAGTTTAGAGAAATTCCTTTCATGTTCTGTGTTTTATGGTTCTCCCGTTTCCCCAGAACTGTGGAAAGCAGCTCTCTGCAGAGGATGCTGCCAGAACCTCCTGTTCATTCCACAATTTTGTAGGAYGAGAGGTCCAAATTAGCTCTGAGAAACCTGAATCAGAGGGACACATCATTCCTGGCACAGGGAAAAGTCTTTCCATGAGTGTCCCTGCAGTGAAAACACMGATCAAGTTCTCAATCTTGCAAAACAAGCCTATGCTAAACAGATAATTGCCTTGTTTGTAACAACTCGTTTTTATGGCAGGACGTGTTCCCAAGCAAACAAATCGTGGGGCCACCAGGATTTAGGGAGCTTGGTCTCCTGCACGTCCCCTGGCACAGGGTTAGGAAGGAACAAGGTTTTCCACACACAGCTGGAGCCCTGTGACCTCTCCCTCCTGTGCCTCAGAGCATTTGYTGGAGCCTCTTTCAGCACAGATTTCAGCCGGGCTTCTCCCTTTATTTGCTCCCTTTTGAAATCTATTTGAACCAAAACCAAGTCAAGAACTCTAGAACGGAGCAGAAATGCAAGCACTGAGGGTGTCYCAGGATCTGTGGTACCTGGTAGAGCTTGGTGTGCAGGGAGCCACTGAACTGCATGTACTGCACCAGGTAGGAGCGCTGGCCCTCGTAGGGAGTGATGATGCCGATCTGGTCGGGCTTGGCGCCAGCTTTGAGCAGTTTGGTGGTGATCTTCTCCACGTTGGCAGCTTCGGTCCTGGGGAGGGACAGGGGATCAGCCAAGGGGCTCAGGGACAGTTTGTGAGCAGCTAAAAGCTTTCCAGCACAGGGTGCTTCAGGGGAAAGATCAATTCTGCTCAAGCAGCGCYGGGAACTCGGCTCGAGCTCTGCAGCACTGTCACCTCCTCACTCAGGGCATGCACGGAGGAATTTGGGCCAAAACCAACAGCTCCCAGGCCTCAGAATGACACAAATTTCACCTCTGCCTCTCAGAATTACACAACTGCACTTCCTGGAACAGCAAACCCCCTAATTCCACGCTGAATTTCTTGCTGGAGTTAAATGTACACGTGTGACTTCTATAATCATTACAAACATCCCCCAGATCCTTCAGTTGCTTTATCTTAAAGCTTTAAATATAGAACATTTTGAATGTCAATGGCCCTATCAGCCAGCCATTGTGCTGTTTGTTTGTGCACAATCTGCTTCGCTGTATCCAGTCTTGCACATGCTGTTCAGGAAACAGACTGAGATTAAAAATATCTCAGCTGATATTTTCTTTCAGAAGTTGGGCTGGTTTCCCTGCCAGCCACATGAACAATCACAACCCAAGAGGAGCAAATTTTAAGATCATTTGTTGACAAAGAAGTGCAGAAAATAGGGATAGGAAAAAAAAGTTCTTTTGCACTGCCACCAAAATCTGAGATTTAGGATTCTGTTTCAGGAGCTACTGGAATTCAAAATGTGACCTGATCAGCATTTCACGCCAGCCCAAATTCATCCCACATCAGGCACTTTAACATCCCATGCTCCTTCTACATCGAGCGAGAGAAGAACTCCTCCACACAACAATTCCAACCCACTCCTGCTCAGAGCTGCTCCCACCTGGGGCCTTTTTCTCCAGGTTTGCTATAAAAGGAGCCCAGGGCAAAGAAGTCTGAGCTGCAGCTCCTCCTGCACGCCCCTGATGGCAGCTCTTRTTAAAGCAGGTTTAATTCACCGAGTGAGGAAGCAGCAGCCCTGGCCAAGCTCAGGGGTCGGAGTTTTGCTCACCTGTTCAAGTAAGAGGTGCCTGAGCTGGCGATCTCCTCCTGGCCCTGGGTCACGTAGAAGAACATGGGTTTGTCAGGCTGGGGCCACTGGAAATCAAAGCCTTTTTTCACCCTGTCAGCTGAGGAGCACAGGAGAGGAACACAACAAATCAGTGCCAGCGCTCTGCAATATCCACACCAAAGGGGCTCCAAAGGAAACCGAGGGCACTGTTGCTGCTGAGCCTCACCTGCAGTGACGCCGTTCTGCAGAGAGCCCTCGTAGAAGATGTTGGAGGGGAAGGCGCTGAGCGCGGGGTGCATGCGGTACTGCACCTGCAGCCGGATGGGCCGGATGCCCAGCACCACCAGGCGCTCGAACAGCGACTGCGACAGCCCCGCCTTGGCCGCCTTCTTGCACATCACCACGGGCCCCAGCTGGCAGTGGTCACCCACCAGGATCAGCTGTGGGCAGAGGACAGTGACAGATCAGTGTGGCTGCCAGAGCTGCCTTGGAATAATAAAAAATCCAACCAGAAAACAGAGAATCGATCRTGGTTTGGTGGGATCTGCAAGCTCACCYAGTGGCACCCCTGCCATGGATCCAGGGGCAGGATCCTGAGCCTCCCCACCCTCCCAGGCAATGATTTCTCTCAAATACCAAACCTGAACCCACTCTCTGTCAGTTCAAACCATTGCCTCACACATCAGGAATTCATCTCTCTGACTTGTGAAAAGCCTCAGATCTCCCCAAAGGCTCAGAAGCCTTCAGTGGCACTCTCTTTGCAGCTGAACATTTTAATACAAMATCTTCTTTAGTCTTCAGATTGTTCCAACACCAGCACCACCGTTCAGGAAACAGAAAACTAACAGGACTAACCCCAAACAAAGTCAGTTAGGTTTGTATTACGGCAAAGGAAAAGTCTTGTGTGCCTACACWGGGAGTGTTACAGCTCAGTGCTACTCCCTGCTGCATTTCCAAACTCCTTTTTGGCTGGAATGGCAGCATTTACCTGCTTTGCCCCCAGCACCACGGGCACCATGCACTCGGGCTCGGTGGCCTGGGTGCTCTCGTCGATCAGGATGGAGCGGAACTGCATCTTGGCCAGTCTGGGATCCCCAGCTCCCACGCAGGTGCAGCAGATSACATCTGCATTCTGGGACAGACAGGGAGCAGGGATTCAGTGCTGGGGTATCACCAGCCAGCAGCACTGAGGGTGACAGCCCTTCAGCCTCACCATGAGCAGCTCCCGCTCCGCCGTGCGCTTCAGCGCCCGGTAACGCTTCTCATCCGCAGACGAGAGCTCYCCGGTCTCATCCTTCAGCTGCTGCAGCTTCTGAAGCTCTGGCATGCTGCAAAAAAAGGGAATTCTGCTTCACAGCCCAGCCACCGACTCGGCAGCATTGCAGTGAAAATTATTTTTGATTACTTTTTACCAAAAGTAATCCCATTGAGCAAATAACGGTGCTGCAATGACAACATCCCCAGCTGTGCCATCACTAACACTGAAATGGAGGTTTTYACTCATTTCTCACCTGTCCATGTTCCTGATCTGGTTGTGCAGTGCCAGGAAGGACACGGGCGAGTCGATGGCCTCGCGACTCTTGGCACACAGGCGAACCACTTTGAGGCCAGTCTGGTGGATCTTCTCTGTCAGCTGATCCACAGCGATGTTACTGGGGGCACACACCAGCACAGGCCTGCAGAAAAGCAGCCAAAAATCTCAGGAAAATGTCAGTGTTCTTCATTAGACTTGCAGTAAAATGTAAGTAATGACACATCCCCCAAAAACAGCCTGGGGAAGGGCATTGTGAAACAAGCCTGAGGCACCCCAGTTCCACAGTTCAGTGATAAAAGTGATTTTTGCTTTGAAAAACAAGGTGATTCTTCCCATTCCTCAGGTAAGCTGATCCCCAAAGGCTCAGAGAGAGCAGCTCTCACCCATTGCCCTGCCTGGCCAGGTGGTACACGATGGTGGCCGATGTCACCGTTTTCCCAGTGCCAGGGGGACCCTGGATAAGGCTCAGAGGACGCTGCAGCACAGTTTTCACAGCATACACCTACAASAGAGGGTTGGTTGCTATTTAACATTCCGAGCACAGGCTTTCAGCTGTTCAGGCTCTATTTTTAAACCCTTTCTCACCCTGAGCAGAGGGAGGTGAGGTTACCTGAGAGTGGTTGAGGTCAGGGAGTCCCTGCGCCGTGAAGCGCTTTGGCAGCTGGCATTTGATGATCACATCCTCCACCTCGTGGCCCAGCAGCTTGTGGTAGATGTAGCCAGACACAGAGGTCTCATCCACTGCAAAGGTTTTCAGAGCACTCTGCATCCTGGAGGGAGACAAGGGCAGGAAAATCATTCATAAATATCAGCGTGCCCTCAAGGCAAATACACACAGAGGTTAATGAGACACCAGGCATGAATGAATGGGAATCTTGGGAAACAGAGCAATGGCCAACACTCATTAAMAGAAATAAAATTATAAAATTGCACTCTGAGAACACACATTCTGTTACAAGGTGTCACCAGGAAAGTGTGTAGAGGAATAGCAGCCTTTGGAGACAGAACCTGTGCTGGTAATTTGAGGTGCAAGAATCTGTGGCAGCCATTTCACRGCAAGATATGAGGAAAATCTGCAGCCATGATGAACAAAGTAATAGGATAAGAAGAAATAATAATAATAATAGGATATATTAATACTAGGAAATTCCAGTAATAGGATACTGAGCCAACTCCTGTCTCACAAAACACAGACATGGCTGAAGTCTGTGGACCCCACAGTCCAATGTCCTGAAACCATAACTGGTGAAAGCAATTCCAGCTTAGGAATGCCAACAGGAGCTGTGTGCAGGAGGCTGAACTACAAAAATTCTTTTTCTTCGGATGTTTCAAGAATTACTAAACCTAWGACAAATTTCACCCTTTGATGTATTTGCAACTTTGCCTTCAAAATGAGAAAAATGGACCATTTAATGCTATTAATTCCATTTCTARGCCAAGTCAGGCTCTCTTGAACCAGGTGTTCACCACACACTGAGATTTCTGATGGGTGGTGCCAAAGCAAGACAACTTTTTTGGTTCAAAAACACCCCCTGAAGGCAGAGAACAAAAACCTACACCCAGTGCTGCCTCAATACCTGTCAAAGGACGTCGACTTCCACACAAAATCCACCTGGAAGTTGTGAGTGACYTCCACAGGGGCTCCAACGCTGCTCCTCAGCTCGATGGCTATCTCATCACCATAATCTGTAGAACCTCGTTAAGTAGTAATTTAGAGAAAAAATCTGAATTTTATTCTTCCCAATTCTGGTGATTTTCTTTGGCGGATCCTCCCCYCTCCCCCCAACAAATTTAGAATTAGCTCGGAATTACTTTTGGACATAATTAATGAGTTGTTAATGACTGCAGCTTCGGCCTGGCCTGGCTGAGGACTCTCTAAGTAAAGGATACTATCAGGAACTTTGATCACGTGCCCAATTCCCTTCCACAGGGGGGCCAGGTCTCCCTTGTACCTCAGGCAGATCTCATCTCCTTGCATGAGGCGCATGTCTGCAAAGGAAGGCAGAGAGAAGCTCTCAGCAAGCACAGAACCCCTCCAGAGGCACCCAGACCAGTTCTCCCAGTGCTCTAACACTGGTTTTATTCAGCAGCCACAGCAGCCCCTGCCAAGGGRCCTCACCTGAATCAGTCTTTGGCAAAGTGAAGTAAGCAATCCTCTTCTTGTTCAGGCCCAGGTCCCACCTGACTGTGATGTTATCTTGGGTCTGAGGGTTCAAGAAAAGGCATCATTATGTTCTKGAGGAGCTGTTTGCCAACCACCACAGTGCTGGGCCTCAAAACAGTGGGGAAATAACAAAACTTGCTGTTCCARCGTCACAAAAATCTCTATTTACTCCTATGGCTGAGTTCACAGCACCTGCAGGAGGGGAATTCTGTTCCACCAGAGTTGATTATGAGAAACAAAGTCCTGAGAGCAGCTGGGGAATTCTCCCCTCCTCCAAACACTCACTGMATGTTCCCAGGACCTCACATCACTCCCATTTCCCTGGCAGGGATCTGAGGGGAACACAAAACGCTGCAGTTCTGTGACAGAAAGTGGCTCTTGGAAGGACAAATTTCAACTCAGGAAAGGTGAGAAGTTCCCAAGTGTTTCAAGCTCTTTGAAACCCTCACTGGGAGGGTTTTCCTCTCCTCTCCCTGTCACACATCACTGCTGAGATCACASTGCTGCTACAGCACAGAAATGAAGGGATTTATTTATTTCATTTGAGTTTCCTTCTGTGCTGTGATGTGTTTGACTCCAGAACTGGTCAGGAGTCCCTCAAAAGGCAAATCTCACACATTTTACCTGAGATTCCTTGAGTTTCTTGTCATAATCTGCCTCAAGCTTGACCAGAGGACCAAATATATTTTGGTATTGATAAGCATCTTCATATCTAAGCAAGACATGCTGGGGCTCCTCATCAACACCAGGCTTTTCCAAGTCCTCCAGGGTTGCAGATGGATTTTCCTGGAATTCAAAGCAGAGATGTTTTCTTTCAAAGTCTGAAGTACAAAAGTGACAACAGGACTGGTAACACTGTGTTTTACTGACACAGGGAGTGGTATCGAGGTGGAACCACCCTTAAAACTACACTGAGGCATTACAAGTCATGGTTAAATGCAGTTTAAATTTTAAAGGATGCACAAAAATCCTCTCAAAAACTCAGTATCTCAATGGAGCAGCAATTCCCTGCTCAGCWGGGCATGRCTTCAGCCAGAAAGACATGSAAGTYCTGATATGAGCAAGGAAAAYKGTTTTTCCAGATTGCTGAAGAAGCTAAGGGTGAACAATTTCCTGAATCCTTTGACAGGCCCACCTGCAGCATCTAAACCTTGTGCCATTTCAGYATTTCCCTGATTTCACAGCTCCTGAGAACCTTGTCCTCCCTTCACAGAAACACAGAATGAGCATTTTGGTAAAACCCATTCCCAAAAAAGAGGCAGGCTGTACCTTCCAGAGCTCCTCCAGTTTGTTGATCTGCTGGGCTGTGATCTGGCGGGCCCTGAGCTGCTCCTGCTCGGATGGAATCTTCACCAGCCAGGAAAGGAAGCAGCGGTCCTGGATCAGGGGCTGCCACTGGGAGCTGTCCCAGTTGATGTCCTTCAGGCTGCTCTGGCTGGCACACGGCTGCCTGCACAACCAAAACACAGAGAGAATTGCGAGATTACACAAGGGAAGGTTCAGTTTGGTGGGGCGGGTCAAAGAGGCTCCWGAAATGACCCAAGGAACAGGGAAAMCAGCAAARCACCCCCAGTCTGCTGGGAAAATCCATTTTTCAGTTCTTGTATTTCCTATTTCAGCACTGGGAAGGGTCAGTGTTGTGAGAGGCATTGTTGGGTGTTTCTAGGACTGAAAATATTAACAATGACACCTCTGAAGGTGGTTACAATCCATGAAGACTGTGCACACACAGATCAGAAAATGGGATTATTTCCCTGTGTGAGAGTTACTACGGCTCCAGTCACTTCCTAAACTGACCTGGGGCTCTTCCAATGCCCAAAAAAGAGGGCAAAAATCAACTTTCTTCCATTAACGAATGCATTATTTAGGAGAAATACTTTTCTACAGAACTGAGGTATTTGCCCAGAACAACACAACCTTCCCTTGCTGCACGATCCACCTGCACTCCTGAACTCTGTACGATCCTYTGAAGGAAAAAGGGTGGCAAACCAGAACAGAAAACATATTTTGGGACAAAATGAAAGCAATTTAGAAATGAGATGGTGCTGGCAGCCAAGGCCTTCTCTCACCTGCACAGCAGAACCACCACGGAGTCTGCCTTGGCTGGGATGAAGCCCAGCAGGAAAACGTTGCGACAGCCGCAGTTGTAGCACTCCAGGACAGTCTCTCCCAGAGGTCCATCCTTGTGCAGAGTCACCTCTTTGCACTTGGCTCTCACCAGGTGGTTCACAATGTGGCTGCAAGCAAAGAGCACAGATTTGTAGCAATTTCACATTAATCTTGATTGAGCAGCAGTTAGAAATCTGTCTATTGTGGCAGGCATTGGTAAGATCTGGCTCTTTGTATCCAGGATGCTGGGAACAGTTTCAGGAGCTTCTTCTCAGTGCATGGATGCTTTGAGTGTAAAAGAAGAGGAAATGGGTACAAAATTCCATTCTGATTTAAATGATTTCATCATTTACCTGCCAGATGTGTTTCCACGGCCGTTGCAGAACCAYTTCTTGCTGGTGTTGCAGTAAACCACACAGGCAGGGTCATGGATCCCACAGTAACTGCAATTCCAAAGGAAAAAGCAGCCAGTGACAGGCTCCTCGCTTACAGGAAAATTCAAATACAAGCTCAAACCCGCTCAGCAACATACAGAAACAAGGGGAAGTGAAAACTGGGGAACATCAGTGTGGGAGCAGCACCAAACACCAGCCAAAGTTGTGTTGTGGTCACAGAGATTTTCAAACTTCCCTCCAGTGCCATGGCTGTGGGAGCCTGGCATTGATCCCCAGAGCTCAGAGCTGGCCTGGAGTGCACAAATGTGCCCCAGAGAGAGCAGCAGCTGCTGCCTCCCAGGAAGCTGCTCCCCAAATCCCCCTTTGGTGCCCTCACCTGCAGGCGTGCACAGGGAGATCCTTGGTGTAGTAGGTGTCCTCCTCATCCTCCTCAAAGTTGAGCTCTGCCAGCAGCTGGCTGGTCTTGGCCACATTTTCATCCACAGCYCCATTCTGCAGGATTCCATCAGGTCCATTCACCTGGAATGGAGGTGCACACCCAAAATAAACCCCAAACTCCTCTTCAGCCCAATCCTTGGGTGTCATTCAAAAACCTCCCAAGAAAATGCTGCCAAGAGCTGAAACACACCCATTATATAACCAATATTTGCCTCATCAGCTCCTGTTTTCCAGGATTATTTAAGCTCCAACTGATAAGTTGTTAAAAAAGTTAACAGGAGGAGATTGCTTTCCTGCAGATTAATTTTTCCATACAATCCTGCAATCAATACTTGCTCCATTACCTCCTGTTTCACAGGATTATTTAAACTGCAGTTGATAAGCAGAAAAGAGAGAGATGGCTTTTCTGCAGTTACWTTTTTCCACAGCCTTACATAACAAAATTCCATTTYAACAATTCCAGCAGCTGTTTTCTCACCCGTTTTATTCCCAGGATCTAGCTGGAAACAGGATCCTTATAGCCCAGGATCTCCCCACCTATTCCTGTTGTTCTCTATCCACCAGGGACTGTCAGAACCACGCAATTCTGCAACATTTGGTGCTGTGTCAGCAACTTTCCCACACCCAGCCTCTCTCCTGTTAAAAATAACTCCTTTCTTTGGCACTTTCACCAGCAGGAGGTGGGGATGTCACACTGGGATTCTGGCATGGCCAGTGCAGGTGTTGCCCCTTGGGCTTCCCARATGTCCTGCTTTAATTTCTACAGCCCTGAGAGCTTTAGCACCTCAATCCTGTGCTGRAAAAGACCCCAAAACTTGGTTCTGACACTTCAATCTTTGCCTTCTTTAGCCAAGATCCCACCAGAAACTGAATAGGGCTAAGTTAATCATAATCAATATTCATTCTGAGTGGAAAATGTGGGAAAGGGGCCACCACAGGGCACACCCCTCCAATGTTTTTAAAGACAGGATTTATTTCTATGATTTTAACCAGCTACATAGGACAAAAATCACTCAAGGCCTTTGTCTGTGAGTACAGTATTTGAACAACTTAGATTTAATTCAATTTATCTGGTGGGTGCAACTTCATTGTGCCAGAAAGCTGCTCCCATGAAGAACATGAAACCTTTAGTAAAAGGAATAAAAAACGAAATTAAAAGTCGCCCTTTTCAAGCTGTAACACAAGTGAAGCAAACCCAGCTTATTTCTCCTTTAGAAAGAGCCACATTAAAATTTAACATCAACTGCAAGAGTTAAACTCAAAACCAAACTTCCCATTTGCCCTGAGCCATCAGGACCTGCCCTCAAAGCCACCAGCTCTGTTTTAATCGCTGCAAATGAAATGAGGAGCATTTGCAAAACACCACCTAAATGGGCTGAGTTTTTATTGATGTTATCTCCAAGCCTTTGAACAGAAAGGATCAGCCAAAAGGAACCAAACGTGCAAAGGGGAAKATGGAAAAAGGAATCAAACCCCTCTGAAGGAGCTGCAGCAGCACAGCCCCATTAGTGGGATGAAGGCAAACCCCATCAGCATCTGCACAGATGTGAGCAGATAAATACCCACTTTAAATATCCTCTTCCAATTGATAAAGCCATTTTATAAAAGAGGCAGATAATAACTCATCGTGGCACAGTGGGATCCAAAGCCTCAGGTTTATCTGAATTCCTCAGAAGCATTTCTATCTCCAAGAACCACAATGCCTTATGTTAAGATCACTTGATGAATTTAATACATTTTTTGAGTGCTCATAAAAAACTGGTTGTCTGTTAAAAAGAAAAAAAAAAGCAGCAAAGTTTGGGGTTTTTTTAAGGCACAAAAAGAGAAATTGCAAGTGCAAGTGGAGCAGGAGGTGACAGCAGTGTCCCAGCCCTCGGGGAGGCAGCAGTGATGTCACCTGTCCTGTGCAAACCCAGTCCCAGCCCTTGGCAGGCTCACAATGAGGAAGTGATTGTTCCAAACCCTCTTGTGATGTCAGCCTGTGTGCACAGGATTAAAAACCTGGCACSGGCAGCTGTGGTGTGTCAGGGGGGCCACTTCTCCATTTTAAAAGTGTTGGCTGAAATTTCTGGCRCGGCGAGTTTGGCAGCTCCAGCAGCGCTGAGAGGTGCCACAGAAATACTCCCAAACTCCTGGGGCCTTCCTTGCTCCTTCCCTGGCCTCTGAAATATTCACTGGGAGACAAAAAAAAGCCAGGGGTTGAGTGAAAGGAGAGGAATCTGGTGGGGACAGGGAAGCTGTGGCTGCCCCTGATCCCTGGAAGTGTCCAAGGCCAGCCTGGAGCACCCTGGAAGGTGTCCCTGYCTCTGGGAYTTGGGAGCTTTAAGGTTTTCCAACCCAAATGGTGCCAGGAATGTGGGATCCCACTGCCTGTGWGTCCCCAAATCCGTGGAGCAGAATTTCCTGGCTCCCACACCCTCCCAGCCCCGCAGCAGAGCCCCAGGTGAACACACCTGTACACCTCACCCAGCTCTGCTTTAAAGTGCTGCATTTCRAGCTCTAACAAGAACTTTAATTGCACTTCAGGAGGGAATTTTTGCTAGAAAAGTCCCTCTGTAAAAGGGTTTCAGGCC